TCTCTCGCGCATATTTCATACAATCAGTGGCAGTGCTCAAAAAGATTGTCAAAATGCAATCCATTCTGCAGTATTTAATCGATTGCATCTTTTGTTATTCTTTATGAAACTTGTCGAAATTTTGCAATTATGTTTAGTTATAAGAGCTATGGCTCTGACATTAATTTGAAGCCGAAATAAAGTGTTTTTCAAAAGATATGGAGTTGTAATCAAGTAATCCCAGTCCTTACGACATTTTACAACAGATTGTTGCTTTTAGTGGAAATATTACAAGAACCGAATAAAATATGAAATTCTGAAACAAAATTTCAAACTTTCTTTTAAAATGGGACAGTAAAATTTCTTGGGATATGGGACATATATTTCATTGGCATTGTTCTTTAAACAGATGAACCTGGACAGAAAAACAAATTATTTCACAATCTGTGTAATAATCACTTACTGTCCTGTTTTGTATGAAAAGATACAACTTTACTCTTTCCACTTTCATGACCGTTGTACGCTGTTACTGCAAATGTATACTTAGTGTCCGGTTTCAGTTCGGTGACAACATTTCCCTTCGTTTTTGTGAATTTCCACGGTTGGCGGTTAGTTTTAGGTACCAGCTATATTTGAAATAAGTTAATTATATGCCATAAATTAAATATTTTATGCATGCAAATACATATTCGCATATTAATGATGGCCTGATCCAAACACGGGCTTCGACCAATCAGAATACACGTTATAATCATGTTACTTTATAAATGTAGTTGCTATTCGCTATTGAAGTTTTCCAAGTCCCCAAAGGGGGGACATGTCGCAGCTCTCGGAAGCTTTCGTCCAATTGGATAATGCTTTTCTATGCTTTCGAAAGAACGAAGCTATGCTATTGGTTGAAACAGAAATGTATTGTAAAGTTCAGCCAATGAAAAACATTCTTGCGAGGAGCTGCGACACTACCCCGAAAGGGTGAATAATATTCAAACACTCTGCCGTTTTACGCACCTGATAGAGTAAGAAATGGATAATTTTTCCATTTGGTAAAGCGGGCGCCCAGCTGAAATTTGCGAAAGTAGAACCGATCTTTGTGGCACTTAAATTGATTGGTGGCAAAGTAGCTAAAGATTAATAATAATGAAAGTCATTGCATGAATAGATCAATTCAGCTTCAATGTTTTTGTGTATTTTGATAATGATAGATATGATTTCTTGTCAGAACATAATATTATATGTGGGCACAATGGAACGAGTTCTGGCGGCAATATTATTGCAATTTCATAAATACTTTGGGAACCGAGAATACGGCTTCAGAAAGTAAGGAGTTTTTCACGCAGTTTTCTAAAATATTTGATGAAACTCCTCCATATTGTTAATAAAAAGACAAATGCAAGCAAATTAAACGCACAGGGGCCGGTTGTATGAAAGCCGGATAGCGCTATCCAGCGGATAGTGATTTTTTCAGCCGTTTTAAAAATGCTAGAAAAGCGATAAAATTTCATTTTTGAAACCAGCAATTATTAAAGAGGATGCTCGATTTAAGAATACTGAGACTTAATCAAAGTTATAGCAAACAACGGACGATTTTAAAGCGATTGAAAAAACCACTATCCGGTGGATAGCGCTATTCGGCTTTCATACAACCGACCCCAGATGTTTTCGGAACGTTTTTATTGCCACGGAAGTAAACTTTTCTACGGAATTTGTGCTCGTGTTGAACCTACCTCCTGCTGAGGTTCTGAAACTAAATTCCCCTTTAGGTCCTTCCTCTTTAGCAACGGCTGAAACAGCTCCCTCATACAAGGTCGAAGGATGTAGACCTTTAAACGTATAGCTATTTATCGGTGCCTCAGCAATTTTTTTCAATGTTCCGTCTGTTTCCTTCACATAGATGTTATAGTGCTGTGGGAAAGAAATAAGCACATATCTTAATTCTAATCTTAATCCTAACCCTAATCATATTCCCTAAACCTAATCTTAATTTTAAACCTAGTCTTAATCAGAAACCTAATGCTAATCTTAATCCTAGCACTAACCTATTTATCTTTGATTTTGTGAATATATTATTTTAATTATTCCATAAATTAAATATTTTATGCATGCAAAACATTCGTATAATACGTAATCACATATTCACATGTATATATATTTTATTACGACTGTGTTTAACTGTATTTAATGGGTAAATATTTCAGATAAAATTCCTAAAACATCCCGGACACAAGTTTGTTTTGTCCAATATTGCAAACAATAAGGATTTACAAAATATATTTGGTGAAAATATAAATTTTATGTTTTAATCACGAACACATAAAATAATGTGAATAGATCTAAAACAATCTAACAAGGAAGAATTTCACCTTACCAAAAACTTAAATACGTTTACTGACCTTGGGCGAGAAGCTGTATGTTGAGCCCTTTCTAATCAAAGGTGGTGTCCAGTACAGCTCTACTGACATCGACGATATTTTGCTGGTCTTGAAATTAGTTGGGGGAAGCAATGGCTCTAAAAGTGGTGAAATTCTCTCTCTTATATCCTGCAAAGTTTCCTACCGCTTAAGGCCTATTTAGACTACACGATAAGTTGTATGCGATTATCATTCTGACGAATGCAAAAGAGTGCCTATGCCACAATTCCCATTCAATTTTGTTGAAGTTAGAATTTAAAGTGTCGCATTAGTACGTGTGTTCACACGTTCACATACGCCAGGGTACGAATCGTATACGACAAATCGCATAGTGTAAATGGGCTTTCACACTATTTGTAATGGAGAGAAAACAAACTTTGGGAATGAAAAAGTTGTGATGAAAGAGTGTCCCCGCACACTTACTGTCGACGCCAGTGATTGCAGTTCTTGCCTCAGAATATTGGCTAGTATATCTTTCGTTTACAGCTGCCACCTGAAATAAGACAGAAAAAAACTCAATTCTTCATTGCAGTAATAGATTAATACTGTGTAATATCATTAACACTTTACCTGTCTGGTCCAGTTCGTAGGCATGACCGTAGCTAGACCGCTTAATTGGGGGTGGGGTGGGGTGAGGGGTGCATGTTTTCGGTAATTTTTCTGCAGAGGGCTATCACATTGGCATGAGCAAAATCGATGCGCAGAAAGGACTTGACTTTCATTTTAACAGGGGAATTACAACGGTTTTGCTGCACATCAGTTCGGCTCCTAAGAATCGTTAGAAGCTTAATAGACATTTTTCATAATGACGTCAAACGCGTAAAATTGATGTTACATGAAGTTCGATTGGCTCCACACGACTAACGAGCCAATCAAACTTCGTGTAACATCAGATTTTCCACGTTTGACGTCATTATGAAAAAGGTCTATTGGAAGGGGTTGCATATTTATATTACATTCACTGATTTTTTGTAAACTATTGTTCAGTCTACGGTGTGTAAACATGAAGATACGAATATCTACCCCCCTGAATTAACGAATATCCACCCCCCTGAATTAAGCGAGCAAGCTATAGCGTTGATAAGAATTTTTTCACTGAAATCGTATCAACAAAGAGTGGGAATACAGTATGCAGCAATATTTCTCACGGTTTACCTACCTCGAATAGATAGTTCGCGTCGTTATCAAGCTTATCAAACACTTTCCGGGTAATCGTGGCATTTCTTATAAGCACTCCAGGTGGTGGGTTTTGACCAAATTTATAGAATTTATACTAAAAAAACAACAAATACCGATACAAATATGATAGATTGTTACCTACTGTGTATCAAATGTGGTATAACAACTGCCTAAATAGACAAAACACTTCTCGACGTTTCGACCTGAGGGCCTTCGTCAGGAGAGTTAGTATGACTAACTGACGAAGGCCCTCAGGTCGAAACGTCGAGAAGTGTTTTGTCTATTTAGGCAGTTGTTATACAACATTTGATGCTAAGTTGTTTGAAGACGCTGCCACGCTGCTCCTTGGTTATATTGGAACTCATTGTTATTGGTTATATTGGAACTCATTGTATATTGTGACCGTCGAGACTCATTCTTCAAGTGTGTTTTGCCCCGTTCAACGAGGAACTCACCTTGTAACCGATGAGTTTGCCGTTTGGTGCTGATGGTGGTTTCCATGTCGCTTCAAGTGTGACGGTATCTTCGTTCGCCAGATTAACAAGTAGCGGAACACTTGGGACTGAAATCAGAACATATACAATTCAACACACACACGGCAACGATGCTTTAATTTTGAGGCATGAACAGCGGCGTCGCCAGCTTGATAAGTGGGGGAGGGGAGTTATTCTCATATATTTGTGTTTTACATTATTCATTTCTTTTCAAATTGATTGTTTTAACGGACTGTGAACATGAATATATGAATATGTCCACCCCACTTATCGATGCCACTGGGTTGAAAGTACAAGTTTCTCGCGTCGATTTTTATAGACACGTCAAAAACATTCGGGTAGGCAGTCCACAATTTTGTCCTGTTATGCTAATATTTTGGTGTTTTTTTTCCTGTGAATGCAAAAGGTTTCTGAAGAATGAATAATAATAACATAAAATTTGCATAGCAGATCTAAATCGTCAGGCTGGCTTCGCCGCTGTTCAAAAGCCACTCAAAAAAGAAGCAGAGAAAACCGCAAGATTTGGAGCAAAACACTCCGAATGATGTTCCACTACAGGTGTTCAACAGTCGTAAATAACATCATGAATATAAGGGAGGATGAGGGAATGTGAGGGAAAATGAGGGAAAAAATTCGCTTAATTCGATATCATTGAGGCCAATTTGAAGCCGAAATGGGTACCAGTGCCAGTCCTTTGCTATTATTTCTGTCGGCGCCATCGTCGACCGTGAAGACAAAAAAATATAAAGGGGTTCGCACTGGTAACCATTTCGGCTTCAAAGATGGCGGCGGAGTTATCGTTCCAGTTCATATATAGAGTTCACTGGTAAATCCTAACCGGCTTTTGGGACTTACTTCCGCTGGGTATCATGATGCTTTTTACGTCGGAATATGGACCATAATCTTCGCGCATTACAACTTGAACTTTTGCTAAATACTTTGTGTAGTACGAGACACCCGAAATTTCGCATTTGGTCTCTGAAGGTTGAGGTTTGCATTTTGCCTCCTGGAATAGTTCATCTTTTTGTTTCCTAGAATACACGGAGAGAGTAACTTAATCCATCTGTTTAATGGTTAAGGATATACAAGGAGGTGTTTCCCGACTCTAAGTGGTTGATTTCAAGTGTAGTTAATCCCAAACAGCGGTTCAACGTGGTGGTGTCATGAACTCTATTCCTTCATTAAAAATTGTGCAATGAAGCTTTGGGAAATAAATAAGCATGCAAAAGCAGTTGTTTTGGAGCTCACTTGTAAGTTATTCGGTATCTCATAACATTCTAGGTACTTGGACCACATCCCATTCCACAACCAAATTTGGTTCTTGGTACGAAAGCCTCACATTTTTCGGCTTTAAATCTAAAATACAAAGCTTAATAGTTTATACGATGCTATACATCATTTCAGACGTACTCATGGAGTACTTAAAGTACAGCAGCAGTTTAGTGATCAGTTTGCTAAGTTCAAGCTCGTGGGGGGTCGCTCTTTTCAGCCACTGATCTGCATATAGTCGCTGAACGCAATCATATGTGTTCCAATAGAGCATCTCACGAACGAGGCCATTCACTGGCTTTAGTTACTCATGGAAGATGCGAGATCAAGTCTTATTATACACAGCTAAAACGCACAAGTTGTTCGCGACGAATGTGGCTGCCGACGGATACTTAATATAAGACTCACCAACTGTGACCATGATGTCTTTAGTGACCGTGATAGTGCTGACATCAGCGCCATTCGAGATTGTCGCAGAAATCTTTATGCTAAAGATGAAAAACGCGTGATTGAAAGGGACCATACGTTCGTGTGCATCAAAGGCCTTCAGTTTGACTTGAAAAAACGAATATTTTGGCCGTCAGAAGGCAGATGACTGTTTTCCCGCCCTAAACTATGCTCTCTATCAGGGACCGCGGAGCGTTTTTCGTATTGCTGGGGCTCGGAACCGCGCGCCTGCTAGGAGAGTCAGGGAAAATTTTGAAATATATATAGGCCTCTGAGATGGCCGCGAATGCCTCTCAATTTAAGGATTATTGGGAAATAGTATAGATACTTTGTAAAGTTTACAGTATGTTTCGTGCTCATATACAAACATTAAACAATATAACCATGCTTTGGTTATAATGTCAAATATTTTGACATGGATAACCACGCTGTTTTAATGGTCAAATGCTTGTCCTATGTAAAGTTTCCAGTATGTTTGGCGCTCACATTCAAACATTAAACAATATAAAAAAACAAAGAGGTTCCTCTTGCAAGTTTGACTATGGCGCTGTGGTTTTTGGCTTCTCGCATGTCTTAAGCGGAAAGATTAAATTATGAGAGGAACCACGCCGTTTTAATGGTCAAATGCTTGTCCTATGTAAAGTTTCCAGCATGTTTGGTGTTCATAACAAACATTAAACAATATAACCATGCTTTGATTATGATGTCAAATATTTAGACATCGATAACCACGCTGTTTTAATGGTCAAATGCTTGTCCTATGTAAAGTTTCCAGCATGTTTGGCGCTCATATACAAACATTAAAAAATATAACCATGCTTTGGCTATGATATCAAATATTTTGACGTGGATAACCACGCTGTTTTAATGGTCAAATGCTTGTCCTATGTAAAGTTGCAAGCATGTTTCGTGCTCATATACAAACATTGAACAATACAAATTACTTACCTTCCCGAAGTGTTGAATGACACCGTTATTGACGGCAAAGACGTTGTTCTGTCCACTAACGTTTTTTGTGGATCAAAACTCTCAACTTTCCACTTGTAGTAATCCAGAGGAAACCCGTATTCGCGCTAGTAAAGTATTTATTTATTTATTACAATGATGTACACAAGTCCTTTTAAACAAAATTTGGTTCTTAAAGAGCCGTTCAATTCGCCAGAATGATAAAGATGGCGGAATCGGTGTCGATCTTAAAATTTTTATTTGAGAATTCAAAGCGAGTCGAAAAATTTTTTGAATTGGTAGTCAAGTAGGTTTTGTGCTTCGGTTTTGCTCATAAGAACAGAGGACCCTCTGAATATAAAATCTAATTTGCGTTCATTTAGAAACCTAGCGAAGCGAAATACAAGATATATTCACACAGCCATTGTATTTAGAAGTTTAAAATGTAAACAAAACCGTTTTTGTCCACATACAGACTTGACTTCCACTTCCAAAAAAAAATTATGTCGCGTCATTTTGGCGACAGCTGGCATTGTTTTGGTTTGAATTCAGGGTTTCCACAACTTATTTGCATATGACTGTCCTCACAAGGGGATAGCAATTAGAAAAAGAGAAAAAACAAAGAACTTTTGAAAAGACTGCATAACATATTCTATTAACACAAATCCATCCCTCCCTTGTGGTTGTCAATTGCAAGGAAATTCCCTTGCATTGTGGTTGTGGAAACCCTGTTTGAATTATAGCAATTGCAGGTGCCGGTTGTTCGAAAGGCGTTTAGCTTAAACGGTGGATAAGTCAAAAATAGAAAACCAAATTATCTATTTATTGAACAACTGAGCTGAAATATTTCGATGTAAATAGTTTAATTGTCAATGGAAGTACATATTAAATGCATAAGATGCAGGTTCAGTCATTCACAATATCTATGAGAGTGTTTTTAAACTTTGGCTTATCCACCGTTTAAGCTAAACGCCTTTCGAACAACCGGCCCCAGGTGTATACAAGATATATTTACTGGAGTGCTTAACTGAGTGAGCACTGTATCACAATGACCTAGAACCAGCCTTTGAACGTCTCTGTTGAACAGTAGATAGCTGCAGAAAAAACCCGGGCATATTTGATAGACACGTACCGGGTTTAAATACTTTGCCATTTGTAACATAACCACGACGTTTTCATCAATCCCGGGTTCATCAGGATACGTCATGATCGTTGCCATGGAGGAATTCAGCTTACCTGAACATTAAAAACCGAACAAAATTTTGAAAACAAATTCGGTGAAAGGGGAGATTGAAATGATTTGTTAAGACTTACGTATTACGTTCACATTAACACTGTAGTAGAAAACACTCTTGGCATTTGATACTGTTATGTGCAGAACGAAAGAGCCAGGTCTATATAGACGAAATCAACAAATTTTAGTTTTTTGGTTACATTTCCCATATTTTTCAGGAAGAAACTGTTACGATTCTCCAGGATATTCCAATCCGACTTACTTGTCCATTTTGATAGAATGGGATTTATACTTTTCTCCAGTACCACTCACATTATATTCATCCAAAACATGTCTAAATGACACATTGCAAATTGCCGGTTATTTATTTTATCTTTTTTATAAAGCACTGTTTTCTGATAGGGGTTTAATAGAACGTGACTTTGAAGTATTGAAATAAGTCAATAACACGATCCTCTCAGTTGGGTAGTCATTCCGACAATCAAGCAAGCGCTTAATCGGTTTCGTAAACACTCATTTCAATACTAATACTTCAAAATCATTTCATTCTTCGTTCAATCTCGTTTGACCGAAAGCATGTAAACAGCCTTTAAGAAGCACTCAAAGTATGCCAACGAATGTTTAGCTTTCGACAAATTTATCAAAACAGTTTGAAATGTTTGAAATATTCGCTATGAGCTCGAAATAATCGATTGAAAACGACATCAAAATGTACAATTGATCGCCATCTTGGTTAAGTCTCGACGTCAATTAATTTTCAAGGAAGTTCATTTACTTTCGCACTGCATGCTCATTTGCAATAACGTTTTCTTGAACAGTTAGGAAGTGCAGTTGAAAATGCAGCGACCAAAAAAAATTCATTCGTGCATGTGTTTTTGAAAAATTGACCAAGATACATAGCTGCAGTTGACTTGTAGTTGGTTGCAACCATTGTCATCTATTGTCAGACACTCACTTGAAGTTTACATTAGGCAGAAAACCATTTTTCAACGTCACATCGACTTTCAGAGTCTCGCCATGAGCGATTTTAACCATTCTGTTCTTCATTTCGGGAACAGTTTTCACACTAGCAAGTTCCAACTCTACACAAGAAATACGATAGTTTGGAGCTGAAAACATTGTCTTACAATATCACCGCCGCAGAAATTGGTTTCAACCCGAAAATCTAATCACAATGTTCACAATTGTGCATTTCTGTATCGCTATCAAAGAGAAAACTATTGAACAACTTTAAAAGTTCAATTTTTCTTTCGAATACACATTCTGTAATCTTTTGCGTAATGGCCATTTTGAGGCTTAAAGTATACACAAGGTTATTAATTCAGACGATTCGTTTTGACCACATATTTTGTTGAATATATTCATAAATATTTTTTCTCATCAAGTTTGAAACCTAAGTATTGAGAAGTCGTCTTCAATTTTCCAATTTCCGCGATGTCTCACAGTAAATTTTTCCCAGGAATGAAATTTAAGCAATGGTTATGTTTGCACTCTAATACAGGGAACTCTAATACACACAAATGGAGTTTTCCTAAGTCTCAAGCCAAAATAGTTCACACGCTGAACATTTGCTGTATATAACTAAACAATGAGAAATTTCGTTTTAAACTAATCCGCAAATTTGTTCAAAGGCGGCCCATTAAATGTCGTGAATGCTTTAAAGAAAGCAGGAATAATAGACCATTCTTATAATGACGTCAAACGCGGAAAGTCTGATGTTACACGGCTCCACAAAACTATCGAGCCAATCAAACTTCGTGTAACATCAGACTTTCCGCATTTGACATGCATCATTATGAAAAAGGTCTATTGAAATAACGTTTAATAATAAAAGAACAATATACATACTCTCAACAGGACAAGGTGATTTAACGTAAGACAAAGTACTCAAGGTGACATTATCCTCTGTGCAGGTTTTGTAATCGTCCAACTTGATATAACTAAACAAAGGCAAACATTAACACTATTATACGATACAATACAATACAGTTACAATATACGGCTAAACACTCTGGTTTATCAGCATGGAACAATATTGTGCTGCCATTATTGTTCACACTTGTCAAAATCATTGAACAATATTGTTGAAAATGAATCGAATGTATAACAATATTATTCGATGTTCCCTCCAGTTCATATCAATATTGCATCAACCTGATCGTTTTTAGGCGTGTGCAGTTGTATTACAGTTCAGTGGGCTCACTGTGCATTCGCCATCCAAGATGGCGGACTACATGTGCTTCGCATGCTATCACAAGAGCCCATATATAATACAGAAAAACAGATAAGATATTTTCTTACCCTCGTGACTTCATATACGACGACCCTTCGGGGCAATTCTTCGGTACTAAGTTTACTTTCGTATTATCCATCAAAATGCAGCTACCACGTTCGTCTGGTTGAAATCCAATATCGCTGAAATGTCAAAAAGATGTATAACCCGAGGGAATTCAGTGCTTGTGAAAAGGGTGCAATTGATGAAACTACAGGGACGATTTCAACCCTAGTCACCGGTTGTTCGAAAGGCGTTTAGCTTAAACGGTGGATAAATTCAAAGTAGGAAACAAAAATATCCTTTTTTCTAAAAACTGAGCAGAAATATTTTAATGTAAATAACATTTAACAAGTGTTTAAAGCTTTAAATCCGATCACTGAATTTTAAAGGAACGTTATCCAGTTTCATTATACGTATCAGTGGGGCACCTACTCGTAACCATAGCAACAGCAGAACTAACCATGCGTAATGTCGTCTTCGGCACATGCAATTCTTGTACGAGATGCTTTTAACCTCGCGGGAATACTCCTTTCCAGTTAAACATCGCCTACTCGCGTTTCGTATTTCGACTGTTTTGACAGCGCAACCACCGACGCCGATGTCGGCGACAGTCATATTGTAGAAATCGTCCTTGGTGCACGGCACTCCTAAATAGCATACCAGAAGATACATTTTGGATTTACAAAAATCTACGCTGGCAGTTCGTAGAAGTCGTCCATAGGACTCATAAATAGCATACCAGAAGATATATTTTGGATTTACAAAGATCTTCGCTGGCAGTTTGTAGAACTCATCCATAGGACTCATAAATAGCATATCAGGAGATACATTTTTGTTTACAAAGATTTTAGCTGGTACACGTCCTTGGTGAATAGCACTCATGAAGGAGTGTTTTCTACTAAGCTGAATCTTTCGGCCGAAATCTCACAAATGGAAATAAAATCAGGCGAAAATGGTCCGTCGATCAAAAACACTCATGAAGGAGTGTTTTCTACTAAGCTGAATCTTTCGGCCGAAATCTCACAAATGGAAATAAAATCAGGCGAAAATGGTCCGTCGATCAAAAACAATCACAAAATTTGCAAAGGTGCTTGACGATCTCTTACCTAACGAATTTGTTGCGTTGACCTGATAAACGAAAAATTGATCAGCGACCCGATCATAAGCGATGACGAGGAAGACGGCTCCTTTCTCTCCTGGTTCCGTCACAATCTTTTTTATTTCCACACTAGTCGGGGTGGTAGGAAGACGGACATAATAGAAATTCTCATAGTCCACAGAAAACCTAAGAGAGTTATGCAGAGAATCTCATTAGCCTCGTTACCGTGTAGCATGTGACAAGCCTCTTCGGCTGACGTCATGATGACGTCATATGATGTCACGACAAAAGTGAGTTATCACGTGGGAGGATGCATTTCTAATTAATATAAGGTTTAATTACAGAAGTTAAAAATATGAAGCGAGTTTAAGTGATAACTGAGTTTTGTCGCGGTTCTGGCTTCTGTTTATTCTTATTCTACTAATTTCATGTATAGTAAATCTTAATTAAACGTAAATTTAATCGTTAGGATTAGGATAGGATTAGAGTTGGGATTTACACTTGGATTAGGAATGGAATATAGTTGATTATGGTTAACCCCAGTCGTTGTTTTTTCTTTAGGAAACCTTTTTCTGTATAAAAGTTTAATTCTGTAAAATAGACCTTTTCAGCCTGCATGCAAATTAACCCATTTCAGATGTTGTGACCATGGAATAGCCAATAAAACTTAACCATTTCGGACCATGCGATTTGAAATGGGTTAATTTGCATACAAGCTGAAAAGGTCTATTTAGAGACAGCGTACTTACTGCAGGTATCTGGATGATGAAAAATCAGACGTTAAAATTACTCCACCGTGGTCCCCGAAATTGTACCGCCTCTTTCCTCTCAAGACCTGACAACGAACAAGGACAATATATGAATAAAATCCACTCCGTTTAATAGCCTTCTGAAGTGCTTACGTCACACAGTTTTCTATCTATACAATTTTGTCCCACTTGTTTCCCAGATTGCATTGCGATTCATTGTTCGAGACCGACATGACGTAAGCACCTCAAAGGTCTATTGCTATGTTAGCATTGGCAATCTTTGAAAACATTTGTCCAAGACGTAATCCTTAATGTGAAACTAGGTTTCCAAACAGCAACAATTAACTAACCATTTTAAATGTGTTTCCGCCGTCCCTGGACAAATAGGTTTCAGGTGTTATCTTCAGATTCGTTCCCAATACACCTACAAGCGAGCACAAGATTCACAAATGTGAAAATGTACAAAAATTTAACAGACTATTGTTAGCAAGCTATGTTTGAGGTCAGAAGACATGCAGAACTTTCATCATGTTTAAAAGGTTGCCATATGCCAATGGTCTATAAATGCGGAAGAATACTTCCACCGTATGATGCAATATGAAGCTTCAATACCTGTGACCATGATCAATCCTGGGGCGGATTTGCGTGATAGCAACGGCGTTGTTTTGGAATACCGGTATATACTGCCGTACATGAGGTTAACATGCAGGGAGCACGCGGGCTACACGAAAGGTAAGAAAATAGTTCACCAAAGATGAAAATCATAAAATTAATCCAAGCGCACACATGTGATCTTGGGACGAAAATGAACGCTGTAATAACGGTGGCAGTGGGAGGTGGTGTATGGGTATCTATGATTGCCATTAGTTTTATAAAAAAAAGATTTAAGAGACCCCCATATAGCCTAGAGATATGTCTGTCCTGCTTTATATTGCGGTCGGAGACTCCCACTTACGAGCTTGAGCGTACATGCACCCAAGCTTCGGGGAAGGGGGGCAATATGACCCTAGACCAACATTCGTCCGGAATACCCAAAGCTTTGCAGCGTATACTTACATAGGTACAGGGTCTGTCATATTTGTTCTTGGGAGGTCCTTGTACTTTTTTCCACAATCCACCTTTATCGAAAGTCATCATACTGATGAGGTATCTCCCACCGACTGGCCCCTGGGTCAACTGCGTTGCAAAATATACGGAGGGGAGCGCTTGTACCTTCCAAATATCGACGAAACGGTATCTAACTGCATTTCTAAGAGAGATAGAGGAATTTAGACCGATAGATCGAGGAATTTAGGTCGATAGTATATCCATTTCCAATTAAGTCTAATATCCTTCAGGTGTTCATTTGATAGGTATCTAGGTGGATAATAGGGGGCAACGAAGGAGATGGTTAGCAACGAAGATTGTATATTAAACACTGCAGAATGGATTTTTATTTCGACAAACCCGAACGTGATGTGTTTTCAAATGGCTTAATACCTTAGCCAGAGCGACGAAACTTCGGTATGTGGGTTATGATACAACACTCTTGGTAATGATAACGAATAATTCAAACCAGATGCATCCAAAGAGTTGTACAGATTGGTCTCGTTTTTGCGGTGGTTCACAACCAACATCACGTGACCACCAGAGACGTCGTACACAAAAGCTTCCTGAAAGTGGAAGAATGAAAATATCGATTATCATTTTATACACGACCAGTTTTTTAGTTGATCTGAGTTTTCTGACCGGAAGACGAAACAAAAAACAATAAAATATAAATAGTTATATGTATATAGAGCCCACAAGCAGGTTTTTTTGTCAGATTTCTATGTAAAAATATGCGAGACAATATTTCTGAATAAACCATGAAGAAAGACAACCAGGAAATAACTATGTTAATGTGGAAGAAACGATGTACCTTGAGTGGACTAGATGTTAGAATTTTTGCCTTCTTGAATGCCCCTTTTCTTTTGTATTGCACAAACAAGTTTATGGCACTCTTGTCCTATGTAAAGAAAAAAGCAAAACTTAAATAATGAATGCAGCTACGGAAATGGGATAAGTAAAGCTGCATAGTTAGGTGGCGAGGTGTTGTAAAACGCAATATATGCAGCCCTGCAAGGAACGTATAGTTATGAATGAGCCGAGGGTGGTTATGTTTACAGCAACGTACGTATACTGTTCATATATCAGTCGAGATCTTGCGAAAATTACAATATTTCGTTATCTCCATTAGGTTTCATTCACTCTCGAACATTTCACACTTTCTGAACCAGTTTTAATGAACAGGATTTAAAAAAAACAACATAAATTTGTCAAAAATTTATAATTAAATTTTTCCCGCCAAAACAGTTTCCACATTTGATGCGAAGTTCCCCGAGTAGAGAACTTGGACGTTTTATAATTTTTGACCTTGTACAGGCACGGCAAAGGAACCTACTACCACAGAATACCTAACAGAAGTGGAACTCCTGTACTTTTTTCGTAAGTGTGATTCGTCATGATTCGTCACTTAGCAAGTGCATTTTTTTTAGGTAGTCACCCCCCTGCCAATACTAAAAATGCGCTAATTTTAGACATTAGCAGGGGGGTGACTACCTCAAAAAAATGCACTTGCTAAGGGACGAATCATGACGAATCACACTTACGAAAAAATAATATAGTGTTCCACTTCTGTTAGGTATTCTGTGCTACTACTACATACCGCGTTGTGCTGTGTCACAAACATGTAAGGTCCTTTAACGAGAAAGTCAACGATATCTCCATTCAGGGGAGCACCGCTGGTCAGTGAACCAAGATTGCTACAGTTTACTGTCGTTGGTCTGCAATCTAGTTTATATCCTTGAACACCTCCACCTGCGATGACAAATATCAATCAAATCTACATAAATGTTTTCCCGTTTGCAAATTTAGGCCTGGTTCACATAAGCTCCAAGGAATCGGGGATCCATTGTTTTATTTTCCAATAGACAAAGCACAGGAATAAACGTACTATATATATACTACCTTCTAACCTTAAGTTTCATCACTTTACCTATTACCCCCCACCCCAAACTTCCACTCAAATAGTGACAGCTCCCTAGTTTCTCCCCCACCCAATCCCACATTTCCAAACTGACTCCCACAAACTTTTTCATTACACCCCCCCCACTACCTACATCTACCTACATCTACCTCAGATACTCGCAGCTCTTCAAATTACCCCTTCCCCCACTTGCACTCCTGATGCCTATTGTCTCCTCACTTACTCATAATCCAGCCCCACCTAATACACCACATGGACACCGCAGAAATTGGTGTTGGAAGTCAAATATCTCATCAGTTGCTCACATTTGAATCCTAGTATTCAGAAACTGCTGTCAAAGAAAATACTATCAAATAAGTTGAAAACAAGTTCAATTTTTCTTCCAATATCGGTTTTGGAAACTTTTGAAGGCTCTTCGTATGCATGCCACCGTAAAATGGCCATTTTGAGACATTTTCAGACATTTTCAGATGATTTGTTTTTGCCGTGTGCAAGCTTCAAATCTTTTGTGCAAGAGATATTTTGTTGAGTATTTATAAATCTTTTAGCTTGCCGAATTTAAAGTCTAAGTATTGAGAATTACGGCTAAGTCTACCAATTTCCGCGGTGTCCACCACATGTATACTTTCACCTTTCCTGCTGCTTATTAGCCCCCCTCCCCTCCTTTCCACTTACCGCCTTTTGCCTTAGCTTCAATAAAAAGGTCAGTTGCCTTGTCACTAGTCAATGCTGGTTCGCTCCTGTAAACATGTAAAACACGACTCAAGTACTTTTATTACCCATATCCATTGCTTTTATTATCATAAAAAGTCTACCCACCACCACGCCGCTTTCACATCAATAAATTCGTTCAATTTTTTGAAGGTTTGTCCACCATCTTTTGATATGTGCACCTAAATACAACCAAAATATTGCAATAACTAAACTGATAAAACCGATTTCATTTTTTCCTACGTCCCTTAATATGTACCTGTCTCAAATGATATAAAACGCGAGAAGCCTGAAGTTACACGAATTTTGATTGGCTAGTTAGTTTTTCGGAGCCAATCAAAGTTCTTGTAACATCGGCCTTTTCCGTACGACGTCATTATGAGATTTCTATTGCAAAGGTATTATGGCTTACTTGAGTTTGGGCTTTGCCAGAATCGCGAGTAGAGGTGTCATCAGAAATAAGGACCAAATTTGCGTTCTGCGGATTGATGCTGATACGATCAGGGGAAAACTTTACGGTTCTTGAAGTGATTGTTTTGGCTCCATCATTGGTGAGAAAAACCCTTTTGTTCGCCTTGTCGGTGAAGATCATCTAAACAAATAGAAATAAGTTAAATTTTCGTATTGGGAACGGCAACTCAGGGGGGTGGGTTGAAAACAGCGTCTTTGAGTTTGTTCCAGTTGTATTAGAGATCACTGTTAATAAAAGGAATACCAAATGTCGAGCAACATCCCAAAGCGCATGGATGATGCAATCCTGCACGGGAATACCGTTTATTTCTTCATGCCCGGATTGTCTCATTCTTCTCACGGCTTTCAACCAATCAGATTGCGTGTTCATTGTAGTTATCATTATAAAGACTTCCAATATAATTTATGCCAACGAGAGCTGGCGACGGCTGTCGACGGAAGGTCACGCAATCGGTTTTTCCCGCCAAACAGCCACAAGAAATTCGATTTCGACGTTTCTTGAAACAATGTGTATTAATTAAAACGGTTCTTTCTCTCTTTTTCTGCCATAGACATTGTCCTTCCAGTTGGTTCAGACTTGCCTTTGCCGGCAAACTATTGCAGGCAGATATGTGAAAGAGGCTTGAAAAGGGCTTAAGCTTTAAAAAAATGATGATTTGTCTTTGATATTTCTTAAAAATATTAGCTGAGAAATGCAACCGTTTATGCTTTCCACTTGAGCATTTTTATACTTGCGAAAAGGTACGAGGAAGTTGAAATTGTTATTCGTTAATAAATCTTCTCATTTCATAACTAACGAAATAAAATAAGAGTTTATAATTCTAGAAGTAGACTAGAACTCATTATGAATTCATGTGCCATATAGTAGCGATTTATAATTTAGAAAGATGAAAACTTTTGATAAACTTTGGAGTGGTATTAAATTCAGCTTAAAAGCATACAAATAGAGCTCTTTGTTCAAACTAATATATGCACGTAGCATGAATACACACTTTCCAAATATTGTAATAATACCCCACAACAATGCAATTATTACAACATGCAATTTAGTTCAACTCGTGAAAAAAACTCATTTTAAATAGAATTAAACCCCTTCTTTGATCCTTTTGCTTTGATCCTGATATTCTTTGACAACTGAGTAGTCTGAGCTTTCACACTAACAAAAGCTAAAAGTTCTGCTACTGCTTGTGTCTGTATCACAGAACTTTGCAAAAGCTCATCAGACTGAGTACTTATTTGCCATATGTTGTGAGTGGGAGTCTTATATATTATATATTAATAAAATGCTGCTAATGGATTTCTGTCATGCAATAGATTGGGAACTGTGATATAGTTTTGAAAATAAAAAGAAACAAGATTTATCACCTCTGAAATAGGTGTATATGTAGTTTCATCCAGGGATATTGAGAGTAAATTGAATTCTCATAATTTTAAAAGATTGCTTTTAATGTTATGCGCAATTTGCATAACGAATGTTCTCGATTCAATATCAGATGAAATTATCGATAAAAGAAAAGCCCAAAGTTTCTTACAACATGTTAATTAAAACATGATTACTAAAACAATCTGTCACATGTACAGCTTCATCTTACAGATTGACATGGCTTCTAACAAGCTAGCTACAATGAATATGAAGACTATCAAGCATTAAGTAATCCATTTGTGTAAAGTTTGCAATTCATGGTGGAAGTAAATGGACTACTAAAACTTAAGCATTTGACATTTTCATTTTAATTAAACAAAAAAAGGGAAATGGTGGATTAGAAAATGAAATTCCATTTTGATCAACCTATTAGCTACTAGCAACCTGAATGACAATACTTCCTGTTTAATTAATGAAATTGCAACATTTGGGCCTTGCCAGTGATTCCAATAAACATTGTCACAAACAACTTAAAGGTGACAATTTTCAATAAGTTGCTTTCTTTTCTCCAGGACTATTCAATAGTCCATTCATAATATGATTCATTGATGGTCACACATTAATCGCCTAATGCACAAGAGATACATATATTTTAATCATACTATTGTTGACATTCAGCTGAAAGGACACGTACATACACCCCGCTAGGTTTTTACTCTGTCTATTATCTGGTAATTATACAGGTCAGTGCATTGGTAGCTAAGCAACATGGTTAAAAAAAACAATGGTAGTGTTATCTAGACAAAATGAGCTTTGCAAATTAATAGCCAGTGATACATGGACAATAATTATTCAAATCTCTTGAGCGGTTGTAATTGTAGAAATATCTGGAAAATGTAAATCTTTCCTCATTCTATGAGATTGTTGTATGAAATCTACAACTGTACCAACTATATATTGAAAGTTTTTATAAGAAATTGGAGAAACCTTGCTATATACTTTTCAATGTGTGATTTTGTTAAAGAACCCTCTTGTTTCCGGCTGAACAACATTCAGCAGGAAACATGCAAAGGAAACAATATTAACAATATTGAAGCAGAATTTTAGACTCTTCAAGAATGCTTCCTTTCAATAGTTCTATATTAGAAATTCTGCCATTTTATTGACTGGGGTAAAATGAAAAATAATGTGGCAACATGCCCAGATAGCAACTAATTACAAAAAAACTTTCATGCAAAACACATTGTTTTCTAAATTCCTATTTAAAGCAAATATTTCGAAACACGTGCTCGTGGTCATTATCATTTTGAGTAGAACACATACATTGTCGAAAATTTATGAAAGAGCTCTATACGTATACTTATTAGTTCCAAGTAAAAAGCAAGTAAAATCTCTCTCTTAAAACTGCGATAGTTTCACTGCACTTTCAAAATCTTTGCTTCAGATATACAGCGTGTTTTGGGGAAGAAACAGCGAGATTAACACAATACAATATGACTATACAATTTCACCGAAGCGAGACAGACTGCTGGAAACAATCAACAATTACTAATCGCTTGCCAGTTTAATTTTACACATCGTTGAAGGGAGTAAAAACACGAGTGAAAGTTCAGTCGATAGGAGATAGCAATTCCTTCGTATAGTTTGTTTAATTCTACAAAAATCCCGGTAAAGGAGTAAAAATCGCAGGATTTATAATATCTGTTACGTGTTCAACGTAGTTACGCAGTAAGAATGCTTCGATTAATTAAAACATTACGTAGCATATTATGAATAACCTTAAAGCTATTACTTACAGAATTTGGCCTTTCCTTCACAAAATAGTAGTTATTGATTGAAATTTTCTCTCCTGAGGGTTGGAACTTTTTGCTTATATTTTGCCAGGTTAGCCCGTAGTCGTATGAAGCAAAGACGACACTCGATTGACTTGAACGTGAAGACATACTGACACATAACGCTATGATAGTTCCAGTTTGTGTCAGAACATTATCAAACGACCAACGCATTAGCAGTGCATCGTGGTTGCAAAATGAAGCCTAAAGAATAACATATAACATGCTTAGTTTGTTTATTATAACTTCAATTGCATATACACGCACGTGAAGCATATATACAGCGTCGTAAACGCCAGAAATCACATTAGCCCACGGCAGAAAATCACTGAAAGATGCTCAATGCTTCGCAAGGATATTTCAGCCGGTAAAATATATTATTAATGGTCATGCATGTAGACAAATGTGTCGTTTGAGCAACAAACGCTTCCGACAATTTTTCACTGTCCATGCTGGACATGCGTTCATAAATATAACGGTATTATCTTTCAAAACTTCTCTCACCGATTTGGTTATGGTAGGGTTAGGCGGTCGTCTTGCAGACGTGCTGGCTCGTCGAGTCCTTGGTCTGTACGGCTCATCGTTTGCCGAGCGAGCAAAACGTCCATGTTCTAGTTTGGAAATGTGGATTAGATCGTCCATGATATTCGGCTCTTCGCTGAACAAATGTTTTGGCGATGTAAATCTGAGCGCAGATACCTCAGAAACAGCAATAGCACCTATCAATGCCCACAACACTCTGGTGTTGAGAAACATCTTGTAGGTTTTTTTCACGAGACAATCTACTACGACGAGTTGTTAGTTGAAGCTTTCCTCGTGTCTATTCATAACATACAATTATGTTCGTATGACGGCGTGGCAAATCATATGACCAACTGAGAACAGAATATATTAAACTTAAAATGCTATCCATATATAAACAAATGAGGCAAAACCACGCTAGTATTAGGGTGCTCCCCCCCCCCGGCCCTCGAACTACGCAGCAAAAATTCTAATTGGATTGGCGCCCAGATCGCCCCAAACCCGGGGGTCGGCTGGAGCGTAACCGATCCCCGTTACTATCGATTTCTCGGCATCTGATAACGAATAATGTGTGCGAAATCTGGCTATCATGTTTGTTGTTTTCATCATAAAGTTTCAGACTGCTGTCGCGCTAAAGTTTCGCTTCCAATTGTCAACAAACGACTTGTAGACGTTTATTGACATTTGATGTGAACCTTCTGACGCCATCGAGTTTTTCACTTTCATATTGCTTTAAGATACTGGCTATACAGTTATGCTTCTAAAACCTACCGCCTTTGGTTTGTTATGAAGATTACAATGCTCGGAAATTTCTACTTTTCACTTATTTGATTTTCGTTTATAAATAGTTTACATGCATAAACACTCAAAATTCAGTTCTCTGTTTTTTGTATAAACATTATAAAGTTTATTTTACACGCAGTCCTAGCTAACCAGTTTTGCTAATCGTGTAATATTTTGCCTATGGCTATAATCGGGCGCTTGTTTGCCAAAGGGGCTCTAAGATAAGGCGATCTTTTCAAAGAAACATTCACATGGTCGTGGCTTTATACAGAGGATCCTTCAGATTTGATCGCGCCAGAAATTAAGCCTCATTCATATAAACTGACAAAGCCAGCTGGTAATATATCACTCAGTACTCTTACGTACATCCTCTTCCGCGGTGAGGTCAAGTATTCTCTTCAAGAATTGGCACTTATTGAGACTTTTAACAGTTGGAACTCTGTTTTATGGCCGCAAAATTGTCAACACGAACCGCACTCGGGGCAATATCAAAAGAAAACGGACCGTACAAACGAATACACAAACCGTGGATGCCAACAAATAGTAACATAACAGAGGAATTGAAACATCCTGTGATGTGATAAAGTGTCAATAATAGGCATTGCTATCGTCTTAACAATGCGATTTGCATATTATTTTGGTTGCTTTATCTAATCTTGGCGGGAAAATCGTGACTTGCAAAAAAGACAAAATGCGCTATTTTACGCACGTAATCGACGAATAAAGAACAAAGGCAAAACATTATCGCGCAAAAACAGGGGGGGGGTGTTTGAGCCATCGGTCAAAATAAAATAGAGCACAGAGAAACAGGTTTAAAGGTTTTTTATTGTAAGTGGCAAAATTCCTGTATGGATCTGCCCGACGGTGCAAAAGCAAAGTGAAATATTACATTGACAGTGTCCATTGTGGTATATTTATTGCATAGTATTCACCTCTTGAACCGGTTTTTAAAGATCACCAAAACATATTTACAAATTCTAAGGTTTGGTCTTTAACCTTTTAATAGTCTTAAAATTACGATATCGTATGATATGTCGTCGGTTAGAATCTGTAAAGACATTTTTTGGTAATATTTCAAAGCCAGCTTGAGTGGTTTTATGCCGGGAAATAAATTTCCTGCTCTGATGTTAATTTAAGACCTGTTTTCAGCGATATCCATTTGCCAAAAACTGGACAAGGAAAGAAATGCACCCCCGACCGTCTGACCACGCGTGTGGTTTTGAATGCTATCGTTGGGCAATTGATTAGCACTAAGTCTAAACACAGGTGGTGCTCTAGAGAAGACAGCCCACTGCAGGTGGATCGATTCCAGAATTCAAAGCGCTTTGTCTCACAGAATAAAACGGATGCCTCAATACACACAAGACTCACGGAAGTACCAAATATTTGTACAAGCCGTTGACACGATGCATAACCTTTTGCAATAATGTAGATATCACATCGACTCGATCACCGTTTTTTGTCAATTACATTTTTCATCCGTCCATCAAAATGCTATGGAGACAATTCAAATTTTTGTCCACTAATGATGCATTTAGCATGTTTACTTTACAAAGCTATTATGTTGGCATTTGGCTGTTGTGTTAATACCCCGCATTTGAAGTGTCAATTTTCAGCGTAATATATCGGGATACTACGGGATACGTTTTGCACGGACCCGAGGTTTCTGCTCGGCATGTTTCTACTATATATTGGTTTACATTTGACCTGTTCCACGTCTTTAACCTTTTTAGGCGTAAAACATACTTCCGATGCCATGCTTTAAGTTTAGCCTCGCTAAAGCAACGTGGAGAATGCAGGGTTTGTAAGTGGCCTCCTTAATTAGGACATCCCACTTTGTTCCCTTATGTCAACCCTTTAAGAGATGTTACCCAAGGGGTCCCCGCCCCCCCTTCGAAAGCCTCTCAATTAGGACGCATTTTTGGCGGGTTTGGTCCTTTGAAGTTACGCCTCTTTTACAAGAGTTTCGGTGAAGTATGAATCATCTGCGCGTCTGATTTGGGGGGGGGGACGTTCTGTGAATTTTGGTAGAAAAAAACGGGCTCTAACATTATACATGCATGCTACGAGATTAGCGAAGTAGTTTTGAACGATGGCCTTGTATATTATTATTTCATAAAAAACTAGAGTCAAACTGAAAGATTCTATCAACTCGTTGCATCCTGACGAGGCTTTCTTAGTTTGGTTTATGTGTTAACCACGAATGGAGTCTCGCAGTCTATTGGATAGTTCATATTATAATTCTACTGATACATATTTCATTTTTTGCCTTATTTAAAAACTACGCATTGTTGTGCATTCTCTTTCAACGACCATTATAACCATTATAGTTCTTTTCTAGAATAATTCTTAGAAATTAAAAAAAATATCCAATCACAGTGTCGCTGACGTGACATTGCAAAGAACAGCGAAAAGTGGTTCATTGTTGGGTAAAAACTAACCAACCTCGTTCCCAGGGCCTTTTGGGACTTTAGAGGGAGGGGGCTGGGGCTGGGGAGGAGAGAAGAGGATTACCTGCCTTTTACCCAAACCCAGAATCGAGGTAAAATGCTCTGGGAACGAGCTTGAGAACTAACGTCCCGCGTATACCGACCTATTTCAGTTTCTCACCGACACCGGGTGAAACAGTGGAAAATAACTCTTAGTTTTAGTCGGAAGTTAATACGGATGCTTGCTGAGAGTATTTCAAAGCAAGTAAATCATTTATACAAGAAAAATCTTCCCATAAAAAAATGTTTAAAAAATTCCTGGCTTAGTACGGTTGGCGCTGTGATTGTACGAAGTTTAGAATCGAGAAATGATAAATGGTTAAGTTGAAATACTGTCACGCTATTAATTAAGGCCCTCGAAGTGCCAGTCAAGAATCTTATCGAAGTATTTCCTCGAACCCTTAACTTGTACTCTCATTAGCAGCCATTAATGGCGGAAATAGTTGAATAATAAATGGCGTTTATAATGGGACTTGCTCTGCAGAAAATGGTGATACGATCCAGACACACAGTACTCAGTAGCTTAATTGGCGGCTGCATCTTCATATATCCGATGGCAAAGAGTGCCAAGAATCATTTACCTCCAAAAACATCCTGAATATTAATACCGACAAACACAAAAGGTCAAAAAAACTTCTAGCCGTTTCGACCTTCGAGTACTGACTCTACTCTCCAGACGAGGACCCTTAGGTCGAAGAATCGAGGTTTTCTTGTTGCCAAAAAGGCCTTTACATTTCAAGCCTTGCCAAGGGCTTTGGGCATCATGGCATTTCAATTCAAAACATGACCGGTCTGACTATTTTGGCCGCCTAAAGAAAAGCGACCTTATAGAATCTTTAAATTCATTGAGAACCATAAATGACCTCATAGTTCATAGAGCAACCTATCCATGCATTTATATCAACGTACAGGAACTAATACAAAATTCCGCGTTTACAAGCCCACGACACGCCGATTTTCCCATTTATAACCGCTGACCTTTACTGTAACATGAAGGCCCCGGCATTTACACTTGTAAACGGGCTTTATCTAAAACCGACCGCTATGATTTTTCATGAAAATAAGAGGAAACATCTGTAATGTATAACTTTAAGGTGAACAGCGAAACAATGTATGGTATAAACTGCTTAAGAAAGGTTTTCACGAATCACGAACGAAATTCTATGAGCTTCAACCGCAATATAAATGAAAGTACGTCGTTTAGTATGAATTGTTTATCGGTCAAATCTGAAACGACCTAATATCCGACTGATTTAGTCATATTTTCGTAATTGACATCTGTCCCATCTGGCAACCGTTTGCCTAAGTGACGCTATAAGCTTGGTTAATCTGGCCTATATCACTTAGATAATGTTAACGGCTTCCATTTTATTCTAATCTAATATAATCACTGATGATTATTTTTATCTAATCCGATCTAATTCTATACCAAAAGATGGAAGATTACGTCATTTACTTTCCTCCATAGATCGGTCAGATATTAAAGATTACATGGCTTATGATGATGTACATTGACATTTGAGAATGACGTGTGTTTAGGCAAAACTCGGGGACACTCGTTTCAACATTAAAACAGGCAGAAAGTCGAGCCTCTGTTCATATCTCCTCTGTGAGAGGACGTGGACTTCAAAGGTGACGTGAAATGGCGAATAAGACCCTGGGTACGAGGTTGTCACGTATTAGTTGTCGCACGATGGCTCGCCTTCGGAAAGCGCGGGAAAACACACGAATCGTTGGCGAGTTGATATTTACGCTTTCTGGGGCCGATTGTATCAAGCCCGTTTAGCTTAAACGGTGGATAAGTCAAAATTAAATAACACTCTTACATCTCTCTTGAATGAGTCAACTTGAATATTATGCACTAAATATGTAGTTGTGAACAGTATCTTCGTATTAAGGTTAAAAACATTTAGTTTGCTTCTTGAATAAATCAATAGACTTGCTTTCTATTTTGAACTTAACCACCGTTTAAGCTAAACGGGCTTGATACAACCAGCCCCTGAAAATCAAACAACATCCAAATGTACGAATCGCGTGCACAGATTTGGGTATTACATGTGTTGTAAAATTTATACGATAAAACAACTAAAGCCTTGAAGATTTAAAAAAAGGCCACGCTGTGAAAGCAAATAAATTCCTCGTGCAGCACTTGTCTCCACCTGCAAGACTGAAGTCTATTAACCAATGAAATCGAGTGTTTCACTGTAATACATGTGGACAGTCAAACGTTCGTCATCAAACATATATTTCTTGCTGGCCACCAGACAAAGGCAAACAGGCTTAACTAAATCACGTTCGTCACAGCGTATTTAAAAGCCAGCTTTGACTAGGCTAAGAGTCTCAGTCTCCACTTCACGGGCTTATCTTAAATTAAGTTCTTCAGCACGGATCGCATATCTCTTGTTGCAGAACGAAATAAAACAGGCATAAAGGCATAAAACAGAAATTTTGTTCTAGACCAATCAGAGAATTTGTTTACATTTTCAGTAACCCAATCGGAATGCATAATGTTTTGATTACTTCCGGTAAAAAGTATATTATTGCCTATTGGCCTACTGATTGTCTAAAAATGCAAATTTGTACAACCGGTTCCAGAAAAGATTTTCACAATCTTCGACTGTTTACATATTCTTCGCCTCTGAAAGGAAACTGATCCTTAAACGTAAGGCTCTTGTGTTGGGCTAAACTGGCCGTCTCCATGCAGCTTTGTCTTTTTCCTGTGAAATTCAAATTGATGACTAATACATTGGTCATATAACAATTTCCACAAAATTGCTACAAGCTGTTAAGCCCTGGCTTCCTTAGATAGACAGTTTTTCCATATACTGACAAGAACACGCTAGCTTTTGAGCCCCGTTTTGAGCCAGGAAAACTGCTCTCGTGTGCAGATAAGAAACGTTGCCTGCCGTATACCCGGAGAAAATAAACTAAACGAAAAACTGAAAGACTACTTGTCCATGTGAGGCTTTAAAGTACATTTCAAAGGACGCCTGCTTTCAAGGCGCTAGCTGAAAAGGAAACACGAAAATTAATCTGTTAACAAAACAAGTGGGGACGACACTTAAATATATTATATATTTATATTTAATAATTGTTTACAAGAAGCATTGGGGTCTATTTAGATTCAAGTAGCGAGAGAAAGCCGAATATCAGGTTTTATATTTCATTGTTCCAAAGCATTCTGAATTGTTTAAAGACCCACGTTCGTGTTTATAGGTAGAAGTCCGGAAACGTATACTCGTATAGGCGCTGCTGCATGCTCTGAGTACCCTTGAAGAAGAATGCGTTTTGCTAAAAATACTTAAGCAATATTAAGGGTAATACATAAGTGGTTTCCGTGCAAGATAATGTGACGCTAGCAGATCGCGAAAACTTGGAATGGCGTAAAAAACGCGAGCCGTATAGACGTTGGTCATTTTTTTTTTATTTTTCCAAAACTCGAGCGACAAAGTTAATTAAGTCTAAGTGCAAAACTCATGCAGGGTACCACTTAATATTTTGACAAAATGTTGACTAACAAATACTGAGACTCCGTAAGAACGTAACTGTCATGTAATCATTATACGCATAATGGGGTAGTATCGGAAACGGCTAGTAAAAGCCTTTTTTCACACAGAGGAAAACAAGCTGAATTGGTTATACGTTTAATGCAACAGACAAAGTGTAAAAGTAGAACCACTATAAATCATTGTAACGATATTACATTGCATTTCAACTGTTCTGCATAATGTGGTGACTGGTGAGCAATCCATATATACTTATAGGTCGGAAGTGCCAAGAATCGCACGGCATGTAATTTGTTACCCTTAAAGTGCCCCTTGCATAGAAAATTTACTGCCTTATTATATAAACAGTTACACGTGAGCACACTTGGAATTTGTTTTTCTACCTTTAGGCCTTCAGTGATGACACAACATATCTCGTGGGCATTCAGAGTGTGAAGATTTTGAAGGTCAGAGACCCAAATATAGATATGCTAAATCAGGGACATGCACCAAACACCATTGGTTATACACCACTAACCATGGTATGAACGCTGTGGGTCTACAGGGTGTCCCACTGAAAAACCCAAAACCATTGAAATCACCCAGAACAATGCAATAGCTGGATTTTGAATACCTATGGGACCAACAAGTGCATCAATGTTTGACATAAGCATTTTTATGCATGAGGACGGTAAAATTTGTTTCTATCCACAAATGATTTTTAGTATAACAATATTTACATTTATATATGACACAACAAATATGGACAACAATATTTAAATTTAAAACTCAAGCACAATAACCTTCGCCTGTCAAAGTGAACATATATTTTACATGCCTCCCGCTCATACAAGCAAATCTCTTTGTTGCAAAACTAGTCAATTCTCTCGCGTACACACCAGCGAAAAGAGCTTAGCAAGGTTGACTCATCACATTGGTCATATGTATAAACAAAAATCTTTAAAGTTTAAAATCTCTAAAGGAATATACCCCACAGTTTGATGAATACTTCCATTTTTATTGAAGCAATTAAGCTGAAATGTTTACTTTTTCAATAAAACTTTATCCGAATTACACTTTATACGAATTACCCACTATAGGCGTTCAATTTTTTCACCAAACCAGATTTTACACAGTGTAACCTATACCATGCACACAATCATGTAATCAGACCTAAAACTTGTAGATCTTTCTCTCAACAGCAATAATGGAATAGCTTAACAACGTTAATCGACGTCTTAAGATTAAGTTGCTTACGATTTGTACAAAACATAGCCTGCTTGTACGTAAACACTTGAGAGACATTTCAGTTAAAAAAATGTCGGCAATTTTTTTGTGGACTTTTTTAACTAATTTTTCAATAATCCTTTTGGGTTTGACTCTTTGACTTTCGCGGGGATTCTTTCGACTCGTTCGACGACAAGTATCAAGTTTGATTGTGGTATACTAAATCTTCGAGGGACCGACCTTGTGATGAAATAAGGGGTATGCATGGCTTCTCTAATGATTCTATACCCCGCCCCCCCCTGCTCCAAATAAAATCAGGGAATCCAGTAACTAGCAACCGAAATATTAGGTAAAGTAACATTTAATGTCATTTAAATGTTACTTTACACACACGGTTAAGGAAGATTCGTTAAATTCGTAAATAGAAAGGTCATTCACTTGTGATCAGTTCGATTATCGTCTTAATAAGGATACTTGATCTGTCTTCTGTGGAATCTTTGTATGTCAACCTCAAACCAGGGTGTCTGATTTTTTCTTCCAATAAACTTTTCAAATGTTCACGCAATTTCTGAAAGTCAGATATTTCGGTTATATATATCGTTAAGTTACGGATTTCGTGATCAGCGGTTAGGAAAGGGTGGCGGTTAGGGACTGGGTTCAAAGAGAATATATTTCGTGCGACAGTAGCGATATTTCCTAGAATCAGTTCTCTAATATAATATTTGACAATTTTTATTAACGGAATATCACGTAATTTTGAATCAGAAATATATTATTACTCAGCAACTTTGACGTGGGATTAAATTGTAACTATATAGAGTTTATAGAATTAGTGATAGTGTTATTGGCCAATAAACAAACAGTATTATTTACAGTAGCGTTGCCAGCCTGTCGATTTGTCCCGCTATGCTAATATTTTAGTGTTCACTGACTGTAAAAACAATAGATTTCTAAAGACATGAATAATTATAATAACTCGAAATTTACATAGCGGGACAAAATCGTCAGGCTGGCTACGCCACTGATTATTTATTACTTATTTCCCTACGGTTTATTAACTTCGCCAGATGTTGTAAAGAGTTTTATACAATCTGAAGTTTATCTATAAGTCTGAATTGTTAAATATGACAAATTGCAATTTTTTTTGGATATTAATAAAACATTCTCGCGACAGCAACACCTCACCAGTTGTCAAGTCTTAAAATAGCGAATAAATGATGCATGGAAAGATGTCAATTTATTTACAATATAAATATTCTGCTGAACAGCTATAGGACGTGCAGATGGATGGGCGACAAATTTACATTAAACTTCGCAAATGACAGTGCATGACAGATGCATGGGTTTGGAAGTTACGGGCGTTTAATTATAGCCCAGAATGAAGCTTTTCCGCGTGTTTTTGCTATGCTTTTTATAACTTTCATTCCCTCGGTGCGTAAAATCTTGTTTTTCCAGTAAAAGATCAAGCAGTTAAATGTAGCATTCATCGAGCTAATGGTGTCTGCCCACATTCCAACAAGTTTAACATCGTTTAAGGTCAAGAACGCGAGAGTCTTGTTTTCCGAGTTCATCTTCAATCCAATGTAGACAAACGTCGGAATCGACTGTGCCGCCAAACAAGCGACTGCTAGCAAGCAACTCGATATATTTCTAAAAGAAACCGTTCTTCTTAAGCCTGATGTCATTCCTGTGTTTTGGCGATTATTCTTAGCGATTATAAAAAGCTTGTAGTTCATGAACAACATCGGAGAAGCGAAGATGACAAGGAAAACAAGAATTGTGGCTTGGAGGGAAATTAAGTCGTTCAGCGTCATCACCACAAGCACTAATTGGACAACAATCAGTATTCCGAGAAGAACCAGTAGTTTTCCTTTTGTTACAGATGTTCGATGAAAGATGGGATGATAGGTCGCCAAATATCGATCGAAATTCATCACCAAAAGAGCCAGCAGAGAAAAGCAAATAAAAATAGCAGACACGTACATGAAATGACCCACCCAGATAGGATATGCTTTTTCGCTCAACAATGTTGCCGTTGTATAAGCCGCCAGTGGGTGCCTTGCCAAGACCAGAAGCAGATCGCAACAGGACAAAACCATGATCATGAAATAACACAATTTCTTTCGAAGCTGCGCTGATCTCCAGAAACTGATTATGACCAAGGAATTTAAACATATTCCCGAGAAAAAGAAACATACGTTCACAATAAACATAAATATCAAGTTAATGAAATATTTTAACTCCATCGTAAGGCGTCTGATGAGCTGTATATACGAGTTAAAATTACATAGAATGTAATATTGCGGAAATAAAGGTTTATGATGTATGGATATTACACAATGATATAGATCATTATTGACATTCAAAAATTTTAATAAAAAATTTTGTCATACAATGTGTGTGGATGCACATATAATTAAACTATATTTAGCTTTCGGTATCAAATATTTTCAACCGAGTAAAGTTAAATAAATTATATATTATATAATAAAGAGTCACCTTACAACGTTGGTACATGTGTTAAAAGTCAAAGTCGTCTAAATGCACGCATAGCTTAAAATACCTATAAGTTGAACAATGTCAATTAATTGTGAAATATATGTGGGGTTAGGGTTGGTCATGCATGCCTTGTTTTTATGCAAGCTATATATAACTATATACGAATCGAACAAAATCTTCCATCAAGAACCTGAATTACTGTAGTAAACTTGAATTCAAAACAATCATGAAATATATAGCCACAAAAAATAAAGCTGAGCATTTAAAAACGCTGTGACCTTCGTAAAAGAACTAGGTTAAAAGAAGATCTTCATTAAATTTAAGATCTGAGTTGGATAAAATCGTTGCAAGGTGATTGATATTTTTCACTCAGTATCTGTGTTTTCTTAGCAGACGAAAAGATCAAAAAAGAATAATCTATGCTAAATTTGAAATCATGCATTAAAGAAGTTGCGAAGCGCTTCGACTGATAAGTATATTCCTACGATCATGCAAAAAGCTTCCCAAACCAAATGAAACAGTATAAGGTGATTGGGATTCAACCGGCTTGTGTCTTTTAGGATTCTATGATCAAAATCCACCACAAATTTTAGCCCTTATGTCCCGTATAATATTCATTCCCTCGGCGCGCAAAATTGTGTTTTTCCAGTAAAAGATCAAGCAGTTGAATGTAGCATTCATCGCGGCAGTCGTTTCAGACCAGAGTCCAACAAGCTTCACATCATTTAAAGTCGATGTTCCCTGTACCGTGTTCATCCTCAATCCAATGTAGACAAACGATGGAGTTGTCAGCACCAAACAGCAAGCCACGGCCAGTAAACAACTCGATGTATCTTTTAGGGAAAACGCCTTTCTCCTGTCGCGTGGTATTATTCTGTTTTCACGACTCTTCTTTGCGATTATAAACAGTTTGTAGTTCATGAAGAGCATCGCAGGAGCGTCAATAAGAAAAAAAATAAGCGAAGCAACTTGGAAGGAAATCAAAATGTTCACGCACAACACCAGTAAAAGTAATTGGACAGAAATCAGTATTCCCAGAAGAGTTAGAAGTTTTCCTTTCGTTACAGATGTTCGATGAAAGATGGGATAATATGTCGCTAAATATCGATCAAAATTCATTACCAGAAGAACGGATAACGAAAAACCAAGAAACATTGTCGATGGGTAGTAGACAAAATCCACCCAGCTAGGATAAAATTGTTCACTCGCTAACACTGCTGTTGCATAAGCAACTATTGGATGCTTTGCCAAGACGAGAAGCAGGTCGCAACAGGACAAAACCATGATCATGAAATAACACAATTTCTTTCGAAGCTGCGCTGATCTCCAGAAACTGATTATGACCAGGGAATTTAAACATATTCCCGAGAAAAAGAAACATACGTTCACAACAAAAAGGAATATCAAGTTAATAAAATATTGGAGCTCCATCATTGAGCGAATCTTTCTGAAGAACTATATATATATATATAATATTATATAATATATATAATATTATATATATTATATTAATATAATATATTATATATAATAATATATATATATATATAAGCGTTGAAAGAACCGAGACCAAATATGATATTATTGAAATAAGCGTTTACACTGACGAAAAGACATTGCATTGCTTATTTACATAAGAATAATTTTGAGGTTAATGAAATATTTCAACTCCAACATTAAACTACTCTCGGATGAAATTTAAGCGTCGAAAGAACAAAGACCAAATGTAATATTGTTGAATTATATAACTGTATACAGACGAAAAGATATTACAAAAATGATTGAGTACTCATTTACATATAAGAAATATTTTTAATAAAAATTGATGTTTTTTAAACTCAAGTTTATACATATCATGCATTGATGTCAATGTCCCTAGCATTCGTAAAGAAATATTCCATCAACTATCCACAAGATGTCTAGATGCTAGCCAGCATAATAATAGTGCATAATATAATACAGAATAATAAAGCATATTGTTATATAGGTGCTGTGTATTTTAAATGTGATTGGATCACTCGTAGTCACATGACTTTAAATAAATGCAATGTTTCCCGCCAGGGAAACAAGTGAAAACGTGTTGCCTGCTTCTTGTCATAACAAAGTAAAGTGGGTTTTTTTTTAAATGAAATTGTTGTGTAACATGTATATTTTTGTTCCTGTATAAAAAAAACACTTAATGTACACTACCTCGGGAGTCGGGAAATAGTGAGTTTTCAGACTCTTGGGAAAACAAAACTCACTATTTCCCTCGGGAGCATACATTAAGTGTATAGTAATAATGAACATGCAATATAGTGCTAGGAAGTACGTGAAGTTTTTTAAATGTGGAATTACATTGTTTTTAAATCGACACACATACATGTAAGCCTGTAGTTCAACTTAAAATAAACCCACAATCGTAAACCTGACCATAATTCCTTGAACGAGACAGCCAAGCTAGCCTAGTTTCCAGCGCTGGGATTGGGGCAATTGTGTCCACAATGACATATCTGATGAGAATTTTTCATTTAAGTCGATTATCATAGATCCAGTATAAGAACCATTTTCGCGCTAAGATCGAACATTTCCACAAATATTTGCTATGCCTTTGATAACTTTCATTCCCTCGGCGCGTAAAATCTTGTTTTTCCAGTAAAAGAACAAGCAGTTAAAAGTAGCATTCACTGAGCCAATTGTTCTAGCCCAAAATCCAGCTTGGTGTGCGTCATCAAAAAATGAAACTTCATCTCCGAGCTTACACTTAGTGCAATATAGACTGACGATGGAATGGACAGTGCCAGAAAACAAGCGACTACTAGCAAACAACTCGATACATTCCTCACAGAAAATGCATTTCCTCTATCGGCTGACGTTCCTTTGTTTCCACGACCTTGCTTGGCAATTGTAAACAGCTTGTAGTTCATGAACAACATCGGAGGAGCCACGATGATAAGAAAAATAAAAACAGAAACTTGCTCAAATATTACAGAGCTCCGTATTATCACCGATAAAACTAACAGGAAAAAAATCAGTATTGCAAAAAGAGTTAGAAGTTTTTCTTTCGTTACAGATGTTCGATAAAAGATG